GGGGGTTAGGGGGGTTAAACCCCTCCTAGAATCTCTCTAAGCCCTCTTATAAAGTGTTCAACCCCACCAAAATTTCAGTGCATTTTTTCTTGGAAGTTTTGAAAGAAATTTGTTGGATTTTTCTTTTTTTGGATTTTTTAATGATTTTTTTAGGATTTGAACAGATTTTGAACAGAATAAATTGGGATTTTGACAGATTTATCAAATTATACCAGAGTTTGTCAGTTAACCGAGTCAAATCCGAGCCCAAGTCAAATGTCTGAGTCACTGTTTAGTGGTCTTTGTAGTTCAATATAAGTACCCTATTCCTAACCCCACTCCTAACTATTACCCTGGCTAACCCTATTTGACTGAGAATTTTATTCAATTTTGGAGTTTGTCGGTTAACCGAGTCAAATCTGAGTCCGAGTCAAATGTCTGAGTCACTGTTTAAGGTTACAGAACACCTTTGAGTGTTAATTTTGGCTAAAACTTTTTTATTGGTTTCCATGAAAGCAGTAGACTAGTTCTACTATCTGATCAAGTTTGAACAAAAAATGTTGAAAACTCGCAGAGTTATTTAATAAGTTCTGCTGCAATAAGGAAAACATTGAAAATGTAATATTCAAATTCAATTTTCTCCCGAAGAATTTTACGGCAATTACTGATTTTCAAATGAGTTGTCCTCCTGCGGGTTTTAACAAATTTTTCTCAAATTTTCACAGGACATAGCTAAAGACGTCAGTTTCAAAATTGTGTTCTAATTTTGGATATTTTAATAATAAGGAGCAATTCACTCAAATGATTCAGAAATATATTGCAGTCGTCAAAGAAATCGAAAATAGTTTGTATATCTTTTCTTTGCCTGTGTTTGTCCAGGCAGATTTGTCTCTAGCGTGAATCAGGCAATATAATTAGGTAAAACTCTATTAGGGAAATAAATTTAAAGCCTCAACCAAAGATGCTACCACAATTGTTAATTATTAAAATATTTCTGTAGAGCCAAAATTCATAAGTTCAACACTGCTGAAAAAGATCCGTAATTTTTAAATGTTGCACTATTTATGTATTTCATGCACAATATATATATATAATTGATATATAATTATACTTACACTGATTACAAAATGAATTTTGCCTCTATAATATATATATATATATATACCTTTTTAGGCATACATTTGTGGTTTGTATGTTTTTGACAATAATGTCCAACTCAACGAAATAAAAGCGAAAAATCTCTCAGTCCTTACATAAAACGTTAAAGTATACAAGCACCAAACGTGCTCGAACACATACACTCAATATAAAAGATTACACGAATAAAATAATTATAAGCAAATATGTTATAAAGACTTCCATATAATTTCCTCAAAATTTTACGCATTTAAGATAAATGTTTGGCCAACAAGGAAACGTATAAAACGCCAATAATGTGATTTAAACAACAAAATTTAAAGATTTGTAACTATCTATAATAATTTTACATTTATTACCAATTAGTGAAGAGTCAAGGCTTCTAAACAAGTTATAAACAGAATCAAAACACACAATATAAAACTCATATATTTAACGTCTTACCAACTCCTTTTCAAATTTTTGCGTTTCCTGCGCCGAGGCAGGCTTTCCTGACAGAAATTTACTCATATTTCGCCATTCAGTTGACCAAAATACTCTCTAAAACCATCACAACCAATATTATTCATCAAGTGTGACTTCACATTTAAGCACGATCAAGGTTATCCTTAAAATATCTGACCAAATGCGAAATTCTCCTACCACTTGTTGAACCGGAAGTCTCTTTGTTTTATCGACCTCATCCATTGATCTACTCCTCCCCCCCCCCCCCCCCCCCCCCCCCCCCCCCCCCGCGCCAGCTCACCCACTCTTCTGAAAAGCTTGAGGACAAATTTGGCTAAAATTCTAGTAAATCGGGCGTATCTGATGAAGTCATAATCATGGATTGCCTAGTTTGAGAAATAGAAACCAAATTAACCAATTTTATATAAATTGGAACTAGTTAATAGCCGAATTCATATTAGGGACGGGGAACTCGTCTTAGACGGGAAACTCGTCTGCGAAAACCCGTCTGAGTATGAATTTAGGGACGGGTAAATTCGAATTTAAGACGAGTTTCCCGTCTAGACGAGATTCCCGTCTAACTTTCCCGTCTGTTTAGACGGGTAAGTTAGACGGGAAAGTTCAGGGCAATTGGTAGATAGTATACTTCAAAATAAGGTTTCCGTTTTTATATCAATTTTTAAAATAATTAAAATAAGTTATGTTAGGGTTATGTTAGGATTTAGGTTAGGGTTAGGTTAGGGTTAGGGGGAGGGTTAGTATTAGGTTTAGGCCTTAGTTTTGCGTTAGAATAGTTTTTTCTACGTTATAAAAACGGAAACCTTATTTGAAGTATACTATCTAGCGATCACCGACGGGAAAGGGGAAACTCGTCTGCGCCCGGATTCATATTAGACGAGTTTCCCGTCTGAGACGAGTTTCCCGTCTAAGACGAGTTTCCCGTCTCTAATATGAATTCGGATACAAAGGCCTCTTTGTCTATCATTGACGATTAAATTTATAAGATCGTATATAAAGTATCCTAAAAAATATTAAAATGTCAATTAAATAAATTACTACGTTTTATAGAGAAAAAAAATCATTACGCTATATTTCCGAGTATAGTAAACGGCACCTATCAATGTTAACCCCGAGGGGGCGGGGGTCGGGCAAAGGGTGGGGATTTGATCAATCAGGTGGTCCCATGGGTCGGGATTTGGACTGACACTTTTTTTCTAAGTGGCCCGAGGGTGGGGATTTTTGACAGATTAACACTGATCTCAGACGATATACTGAAGAAAACTGAGCCAATTTTAGAACAAACTCTGACTCGTCCCCAGTCGCCCGCTGTAAAAATTATGGTAAAAAGGGACTGTGGAAGAGTCAGGAACAAACTGAAGACTAGGCACTAGTTTATCGCTCGCTGTCTTGCGCGTTGTTTTTACAAGAAATATGGAGATTTCTGGACAAGAAATAAACACTTATAATCCATTTTATAATTATATTAATATCGATTTATACTTATATGTTAAAAGTTCACATTATGTACTATTTAAAACACGAGTACGAGTGTGTTTTATCAGATATAAAACGCGAGGGTCACAACTTAAAATACGACTACAAAAGAATACTAATTAGGGCGAACAATTATATAAGAATACTGACAATATAATTATATAAGAATACTGTGTTTTATTGGCCTGCGTTCCAGTCCACTACACCGTGGTGTAGCGGACTGGAACACAGGCTAGTGTTTTATCAGATATTATAAACTCACTTCACGTGACATAATATGGCTGACATGATTTGCCGCAAGGTATATGAATTATTAATGAGTGTTTTAAGTTATTTTGAAACGTTCTTTATATTTGTTATACTTTTAAATTATACCGCCAAATGTATTTGTGTAATTTCCTTATCACCTGACATATAGATTATAGAGTGCACCAGAAACCAAATACCTCAGGAATACAATTTCATCCCGGGGGTGGGGAATTTTGCCCAGGAATTTTCTCCCGAGGGAGTGGCATTTGACATTTTTTTTTGTAAAAATGTCAAATCCCCACCCCTTGCCCGACCCCCCCTCCCTCGGGGTTAACATTGATAGGTGCATTATAAAGTTTATAAAACCTAAATTGTATTGATAATAAAATTGATTTTTACTGTACACTTGTAAATAATAGCCTATAAGGTATATAATTCAACATTACCCATATTTAAACTACAGGATATGATATTTTATATTGTGTCCACAGCCAAACCTTTCTCCACTGATCTCGAAATTTTTGAGGTGGTGGCAACACTAAAACTACCGATTTGTTGACCACTTTGAAAGAAAGAGCTGAAATAACGCTGACATACAACCAGCTTGGAGTTAATCCATGTTCTTCCATACTAAAAATATGTTATCATCGTGAGTATTGAATTTCACCAAGATATCGAACGATTGATCGCACGAATACGATATATACATTACGTATTTACGTTACTAGTAAATAGCTTCCTGTAATGTGATTGGTTCTTATTGAAGGTCAAAAGGTTAAATATTCTCACCACAGCCTGCCCAAGGAAATTGCTAGGAATTGTGGAATGATTTTTACACAGTTTTCTTTTAGCTGAAACGAGGTTGATCCTTTTGAAGTTCTCCAAGCTTTCCCTAGCCTGCTAACAGGCTCTCTTTGAACTCTCTTTGAAATTCAAAGAGCCTGTTCGCAAGCTAAGCTTTCCCAAACATTTTGATATTCTGATGAAAGAAATATAAAGAACCGGAAAAGTGAAAACGCAGTTTTAATTAAGGAAATGAAAAACCAGGAAAATTGGAGTTTTTAAAAAGTCTCAAGAGTATGCCTGTTCGCGGGTTATGTAGGCCAGTTTAGCAAAACAAGATGGCGGAAAGCGGAGATGAATATGAGCGACCGAGAAAAATGCCAAAAACATTAAAAGAAAAAGATTCGGGCAAACGTTTTCTATATACACACAGAGAAAAATGTCTTAATCGAGGTGAATCCTCACACTAGAATCCCTCGGACATTTGACAGATTTTGTGGATTAATGGGTTAGTAAAAGAGTTTATGTTAACAATCAGCATTTTCCTCTTGGAAAGTAAAATCATTTGGCAAGTGGAGTGCGAGTACACAGAAGAGACATTATCAATCAGTAATTATCCTTTATCAGCAGCGCTTACCTGCGCAAAGATTTGCACTGCCTTTGAAGATATGTGGGGAGTGGTGTAACATGCGTATTCCTCAAGGACCATTACATAGAACCATCACATCATCGCACCATGATTACATCATGACGTCATAGAACAATTGAATCATTCAATATTGCACCATTGTGTCATTACATCATAGAACCAGAGTGATATTGTTTGAGGAGACTTTATTTCAGAGTGAGACTAAGAGACTTCCTAAATCCAGCTCAGACTGTAAAATATCAAAAACAATCTCGTTCCCCGAGCCTGCGATCCTGGGGAAGGAACGCGAGGCTCTGGGATAATCCGTTTCAGGGAGGAATCTGATTGGCCGTTGAAATGGAATGCGTAGTTCAATCTTACTAAAACTGTCTGTACCAGTGTGGGTAGTACCAATGTGAAAATGCTGTGCTGAGTGGTTATATTACTACCATGAAAAATAAGCAGAAACTCGACGTTTCGAGCGAAGGCCCTTCGTCAAGAGTTACGAAGGGCCTTCGCTCGAAACGTCGAGTTTCTGCTTATTTTTTAAGTTAGTAATATAACCACTCAGCACAGCATAGTTCAATCTTAGCCAGGATTCCTGCCTTCCGGCAACGGATTATCCCAGAGCTTCGCGTTCCTTCCCGAGGATCGCAGACTCGGGGAACGAGATTGTATCAAAAACTGACAAGTATCTTCACACTAGAACGTTTAAAGAAACGCAGTGACATAAGCAGGGGCAAAGCTAGCCATTACAACTGGTCATGTTATGCTAATAAAACAATACATTCCTAAAGGTTTGAATAATTCAAACATTAAAAATTTGCAAAGCATCACCTGTTGCTATGGCTAGCTTCGCCACTGGATTTTTCAAAAAAAATATGACTATGTTACCTTGTATCGAATATAGGTGAGTTACAGTAAGCATTACGGGTCAACAGATCAAGGTCAACTTCTATGAGTCAGTGTAGTATTTTCTGATAACTGCAGGTTGACCAGCATCTGCTGCACGACAGTGCTTAGTGAAACCTACCTATTAACATGATGAACACAATAGCAGAGTAACTTTATGAATAAGTGAAATTACTTACTTGATTGAAAGGATTCTCTTTTTGGACGCTTGGTTATTGAGGAAATAAATTTTTATGTGAATCTTGCACGTTATATTAAATTTATACAATATACAAAATATTACACATATGTTACAAATATTTTGATAGGTAATGGACCTTAGTCACTCTTTCATACCAACTTTGCTAAAAGATTATAGATCTAACCACTAACGTGTGTTCACGCCTGTTGCCAATCATTTCACTCACATATATAATTTAATTGCTTGGTTACCTTTGTTCCATTCTATGCTTACATTATCAGAACAATGGTAACTACAGGGTGTCTCAAAAAAAACCAAAATCATTGAAATAACGTATTGTTCGAATTTCAATGTTTTGACAGGGTGATTAATTTGTTTTAAAAAATTAAAATATCTTTGTAAAGTGAACGTTTGTTTGCTCATGGGAATTTAAAAATGCTTCGTAAATTGTAATATGCGTAATATGCATTCGTGGGTTTAGTACTTTATGCCTGACATACAAGTTTACGCTGAGTATTACCCTAATACAGACTTGCAGTAGAACTATTAGACTTCATAGGCGTACGGGACGGGGGGCAGGGGGGGGGGGGGGG